GGCAAGGTCGAGCGTGGGCAGGGGGTAATTACCCTAAAATTTCTGCTTCCTAGACCCCGTGGTTCGCGAGATATTAATTTACCCGTAAAAAAGTTTCAGGGGCCATACGTGTTACTCGCGGGTACGGGAAGGCTGAATTTGAATGGGCAAGGTTGTGCGTGTGCAGGGGGTCATTACTGTAAAATTCCATGCCTCCTAGACTCCGTGGTTCCCGAGATATTAATTTACCCCTAAAAAATTTTCACGGGGCCATACGTGTTACCCGCGGGTACGGGGAAGCTGAATTTGGATTTGCAGGATCACACGTGGGTGGGGAACGTTCCCTTAAATTTTCAGCTTCCTAGCTTTTGTGGTTCCCGATTTGGAAGCTGCAGACAAGTTGCTGCGGACACACACACACACACGCACACACACATAGACAACCCCGTGACAGTATGCGTTTTGTGCTGCTGTTACACAGCACAAAACGCATAAAATGGAGGGTGTACCTTGTTTCGAAAGGCACATACACAGTAACTGTGCTGCTAGATGAATTCCCCGGGCACAGGTGCCTGGTGTAGTGGATAGTATGTTGCGTCCGGGTGTGAAGAAGAGTGGTTCGATTCCGTACTGGTCCATAACCACTTTTGAGAAGGTTTCCGGTCTCGGCATCTGTTACACCAGTTAATCCGTTGGTTTGGTTCCCCATCTTTGCAGATGGCTGCTTTCGTTGTGCTTAGCGAAGTACAACTTCCAAGTGCAAAGAAGGTTACCTTAATCCCAGACTAACCCAAACTCAATTTATAGAGGTCTTATCACCTGCCAATGCGGGAATCATACGTTACACTTTCCCAGTTGCTTCTCCCAGTATTGTGGTTTTTAGCGATTAGCATACTGGCGATTCTGACGAAACGTCTCTTGAAGGGATTTTAAGGAATAAGCCAGAAGCTATTTCTTTCAAACTCTCGACCTCTTGTGTTTCGCAGGGTTGGAGTTAATTTTTTTGCAAAAAGTTATTAGAATTTTTGTCATATCAATTAAAATTTTTCTTACATACAAATTATAAAGGTTGGGTTTCTTATTACTAGCACCAGTCTCAGTCTTGATCACTCTTCATAGTGATACCGAATCTGATAATCTTATCTCCCTTGTTGCACGGGAGATTGCATCGGTTTAAGAAAAAATATCAGGGCGTATGATTGATTGACTTGCCTCAAATAAACTCAGATCTGTGAGTTACAAGAGTCCAAATAGTACTACTTACACAGCAGTTTATTTTCCGGATTTGACCGAATTTCTGATATTTGCAAGCGAAATTCATCGAATCAACTTATGTGATTGCAGTGTATCTTATCGTCCAAAACGTCATCTGCCTACAGATACCGGATATTGACAGAGCTCATCAGTATATTGGTTCCTTCTACAATCAGTGGGTGCTTCTGAATTTTAAGACTTTCTTGGGAATTATGTATTTTGCGCACTTCGTCAAGGTATATTCCGAACATGGAGTAGTGGCATATAGCGCTCTTGCCGTTGTTTTGGCCTCGCCAGTGGAACAACCAATCCCTCTACGATTCGTTCATTCGTTACGTTGAAAAATGGGCAACAGCTCATGCCTGGGAGTTAAAACCGCTACCAGCTTGCTTTTAGGCAACATTCGAAAGAGGGGGTCGTCGACAGATGGTTTTTCATGGCATTTACTGCCACTCCAACTATTTCCGAACACTTCTTGCTACGAGTGAAGGAGGTTTTGACTTTGACTGCCGCGATTGCATATTTATAGTTTATGAAGATCGCAAATGTCAAATCTAGTCAAAATTAGTGTGATACTGAATAGGAACGTATACGACTTAATGGGCCGAGAGTTTCCTGTTCATCTAATTTTTTTATGTAATTTTATGGTTTTGTATATATAATATGTAATAATTGATATTTATTTTATGCAGAATGAATTATCTCGAAATTCTAACTCTTTTTACATCCTTCATCCTTCCGTCTTACGTCTCTCTCTTGACCCATGAACTTACTTGTTGAATCCAGATTTAATGTGATTTCGTGTTTTTGTCTGTATATCACAATTAATATCTCTATTATACGCCTAAATTATTAATTTCCATAAACGCTGTAAGTTCCATAAATTAATAATTTAGACATATAAAAACTGTCAAAACTAAAACGTAATAGACGCAGCACAGAAATTAGTAATTTGGATGTATAAAGACTACTGAAACTGAAAACTAAAGGACTTGGAAACGTTGAAGTACCGGTGGGATATCCATGCCGACGTAGATATATATTTTCCCTGTCGAATCAACTCAATGGTATCGAATTGCAGGTTTTTTAAGAGAGGACGAATTCAAGCTATTATTCTCGAAAATATTCCATGCAGTACCGATATGTGAAGCGATTTTTGCTCTTAGCAGTTCTTTGCATAAATATGGTAGCACAGTGAAGTATCGTTGGCAGCATATTTTGATTTTGCTGGATGATTTGGAGAAAACTGGCCTCGAAACACTATTTGTTGAAAGTATCACGAAAAAGCCGGATGATGGTTGGTCGTTAAGTAACTAAAGTTAGAAATCGGCTTATATCCACTGTCTGTGAGGGGCGGAAGCACTAGAAATTGGCTTGAATGTTAGTGGATATTAATGAAAATGGAAGAAAACGAAAAGGAGAGGAAGGGCGGAGGGAGGCGAGGAAGGGGGGAGGAAAGGAACAAAAATTCACCTTGAGAAGTAAAAAAGGTTTTAAAGTATATTGTTGAAGCCCCTTGTTCACTTCTGGGAGGCCTGTGGGACATCATTTTCGTCCCTCCTGATTGACCTGGAACGCCGAACTTCTTGTTTTATTTCCAGAATAAGTTTCAGGAAAATGGCTTGCGGAATCGGAGGAGCTGTGCAAATTGTTGGGACAAAAGACGTGCGCTTTGCCAAATGCATTCGATGACTCAGTA